CTTGTTTTTCAATGCCGCATAGTATTCCATTGTGCGAATATACCACAGCTTCTCTACCCATTCGTTTGTTGATGGGCATTTAGGTTGTTTTCAACTCCTTGCTATTGTAAACAAAGCCGCGATAAACATGGGTATACATATATCTACTTGGATGTCATTTATGGTCTCTTTAGGGTATGTTCCCAGTAGTGGAATTGCTGGGTCGAGAAGTAAATTTCTAATGCATGCTATAATGTGGACAGATCTGGGAAACACTTTAAACAAAATAAGTCTCTTATCTCTTTTTATCTTTTTTATATGAAATAAGTTTTTCTCTCCTTTATATGAGATAAGTCTTTTATCTCCTTTATATGGAATAGGCAAATGACTCGACCAGATTATTAATAGTTAGCAAGGATGAGAGAAAAGAGCTAATAATGGTGATAAAAGAATATTTGGAGGGAAGATATAATGATATCTTCATACTATAATGATATTTACATTAAAAATGTAATGAGTGTTAATTGTGGAAGTTATATTGATAGATATTTCAATAATTTGTTTATATAAATGAATGATGAAGAAAAAGATGAGAGCTCAATTTTTCCTAATATGAAAGGTCCTGATGATACTCTGTTCTAAAGTTTGATAGTGCAGCATCATAATAATCTACATCTTTACTTAGTACAATATAATCTATATCTTCACTTACTAAAATAAAAGAAAGGAGAATGATTATGAAGTTTATGTTGTATTTTTCTAATTTTCTTTTTTTCAAATTCTTTATTGTTTGTGGACTACAACTATAAGTTGTTGCAAAAATAATGCCATTTTAAACCTCAGCTTTGACATTCTAGGACTATAATTGACTATAATTGAAAGAAGAGCCATTACAATCTGCACATTTTTGCTGGTAACATAAAATCTGGCATTCTGGATGTCATTCTCTGGAGGGTTTTTCTGTGGCACTTGACCATTGAAGAGTTAGTTTCCCCTGTAAGAACTTGTTAATGTGCTTGAAGAGGTGGTAGCTGTTTGTGAGAAGTCTGGTGAATATACTGGAGGAGAATTTCGTAGCCCAGTTCATTGAGCTTTTGGGGCACTGGCTCAGTGAGAAGTGGTCGAGCATTGTCATGAAGAAGGATTGAGCCTTTTCTATCAACCATTGTGGACGCAGACATTTCCGTACCTCTCGGCTGTTATAATTCCACCTGGACTCATGAAGTGGTAGTGATGGGTTAATCCAGCTGCAGAACATCAGTCACCATGATCATTTTTTTTTGGTTTAAATTTAGTTGTGGTCAGTATAGCTCTTCACTTTAATCCAAGCCCTGGACTGAATGTCATCAGTTATTGTAGAGGATGATTTTTCACCATAGGATGCATAGGAACACAGAGCCAGCTTGAAAGTAACAGTTGCTTTGATTTTTGTTCATTTTGTGTGGTACCTATCTGTTGTGCTTCTTTGCCTTTCCAGTTTACCACAAATGACAAGTGACCATAGAATGATGAACATGTAGTTCTTCTGCACATTCTTTTTTTTTTTTTTACTTCATCTTATTTATTAACAAAATACTTACGATTTTTGAAATAAAATTTTAAAAATGTCCTGCTTTTACGTTAACATGGGCTAGGCCATTAAAAAAAAAAGAAAACAAAGTCAACTTTAAGTCAGGGTCCAGGATAATACTATGAGAAGTAAAAATATGATTTATGGCAGTAAGACTTTTTAGCTTCATTTATCACCCTCAGCTGACCATAGTTAACTTCTGATGTTTGACCATGACCTTCTTTATCTTTGATAAAGACAGAATTTTCAAAATCAGCACTCTGTGTTCATTGATATTTCTCTCACCCAAAACTTCACTGATAGTTTGACCTGTGTGGGCTGCGTGGCATCCAAGTTTGAATTCATCAAAGTAGATTTGGTGAAAATCTTGTTTTGACATCCTATATTCTGTATCCTAAAAATAGACAAAAATGTAATTTATCTTTAAAACCAACTGGAAAGAGAGATGAGCATTAAATAGGCTTTAAAATTACATATATAACATTTATCTATGGTAATAAGGTTTATAACAAAATTACTGCATTATGATCAAGCAACAAAAATCTTGAACTCGCTTTGCAACCACCTAATAGAAAGAAGGAGTGCTGGTGGCTTAGTGGTAAGAAGTTGCACTGCCAATCCAAAGGTACACAGTTTGAATCTACCAGCTTCTCCAAAGGAAAAAGATGGGCAGTCTCTTCCTGTGCAATTTACTTCTTCTAAAGGTTCCAGTTATGGGTCAATTCTGACTCGGTGATACACAACAATAGAAAGAGCTTTCTTTCTCTCACATCCTTTAGAAAAGCCATGCACTGTGAGAAGTGGGCTTATCCCTTTTACTTGAATGATAGGGGTCTCATGTGGGTAGAGAGAATCTGACAAGTAGGAGAATAAGAATAGAGTTATGTTTTCATATAACATAATGTGAACTGTAATGTTAATATTGAGCCAAAATTGACCCACAGCTGACTCTTCAGCAGGTTTTCAGAGGCAGTAAATCACAGGGGATATTACGCATCTTCCTCTCACAGAGCAGCTGATGGACTCAAACTACATGCGTTCAAGCTGGCAGCGCAGCTCCTTACCACTAGTATTTAATCTTTTTTGTATACATAGGTTGTATTTTAGAGTACATGTAGACCTATGACTGAAGGAAGATAGATAACCTTATTTCAGATTCTAGTTTGTAGTACTTATTTCTGAAGTAGCCTAGGAGGAAATGATTGATTCATTATGACTTAACATATAAAAAGTTTGTTTATTGTGTCCTTATATTTACTTTCCAAAATCAGATTATTTTAATGTTATAAATATTTATACTTTTCTCTTCCAGAAGCCACCACTATCCGAAAGAATGTCAATTACTTTGAAGAAGGTATATTTTTTATATTATGCAATTATATTCTAATTCTTATTATTATATTACAAGAAATTTTGGGATACTTAGGATGCAAGAGCAGAAAATAGTCTTTTTTTAACCAGAAAAAATAATTCACATTTATATGAACTGTTAAGGAAAGAAAGTAGAATTGAATGAGCAAAAATTGCATTCATATAAATTTTAAGCATCTTTTGTTTATTTAAATTAATAATTTTAAACAAGGACAAAATTTCCGTTTCCTGGGTATATGCCTTTAAATTTATTTTTAAAATAATTACTTTTCCAAATTTTCATAGCCAGTGTTTGACTAAGCTAGTACAAAAGTAAGATCTAATCCATTCTTAAACCCAGCATAATCTGAAATTATTCACCTACATACTGAAAGAAGAGCTCTGTTGGCCTAGTGGGAAGAGGCTGCAGTGCAATTCCAAAGGCATGTGGTTCAAAAACACCAGCTCCTCAGAATGGGAAATCTCCTCAAAAACACCAGCTCCTCAGAATGGGAAATCTCCTCCTGGGTGATTTACTGCCTCTGAAAACCTGCTGAGGATCAGCTGTGTGCCGGTTCTGACTCAGTGGTATATAACAACAGCAACAAATACTGAATTAGGTGTATGTATCCTCTATACACAGAGACACATACACAAACATGCATGCATACACTGATCTTGCTAAATTTAATTATGTTGTACAGATTGTCCTCCTCCATAGCAGAGTAATTAAATCTCCAACTACTTAATACTTATGTATTAATATTTCACTTTACACTAAAAATTATCATTGTGGTCTTTTAGATATTATTCTTGAATATTTGTTTAGGATAAAGTTAGGTTTCTCAAAGAAGAAAACCAAATTAACTTACTTTTAGGCCATTTAAAACTTTCTAATTCAAAATAGTAATAACAATTCTGTATCTGATTATTAAATATCCTTCAATTTTTAATGTTTCATTAATTCATTTTTTTGTTTAAATCCAGCTCTTTTTAGCATTATAATAAAAACAATACAGTTAGTTACTCTCTCTCTCTCTCTCTCTTTTTTTTTTAAGGAGAAACTGAGGAAGAAGATACAGAAAGTTCTCAGAGTGATGTTACTGCTGTTAATGTCAAATCCAGGGATTTGACTGAGCCTACAGGTAACATTGCTTTGCAGATTAGACTCTTACCTTAGGAACTATCTTTTTAGTCAAAATTCTGTGAATTTTCTTTTTCAAAGAGTAGTTTATAGAGGTCGTGCACTTTCAATATTATTATATTATTATCTATTAATTGACTGATTTTACTTGTGTGTCTGATCAATAATGGCATGTCCTCTAGTATCAGAATAAACAATAAACCCTTTTCAAGTCTGCTGTGCTATTTATGGAAAACAAGTGCTAAAAAGAAAGGAGGATTACTTTTCAGTTTGCTTTTAATTTTATAGAGAAACTGATCACTTTGTCATAGGGACTCCTACACTACACTGTCAGGCATGTATAACTATCCTTTGAGAAGCTTTAAAATAGATAGACAGTTATTTTATCCCTGGGTTGCTCAACTTCATACCATCAAATGAGTAGTGACATCTCTGATTCTTACTGTAAATTTATCTTTAAATTTATTTAGGAAGTCTTGTTTGAGGAGAGTAAAATACATTTGAGGCTTAATCAGGTGCTTAATGAATTTGTAAGCATCATAAATAATAAGTGGGTTTTTTTTATTTTAACCTCTGAAAGAATTTTTACAGTTCATTTTTCTATCTTACATCATCATTCATTTCACTTGTAAGATAAGCTATAAGTTGTTTTATTATTATTGTTGTTGTTAAGTACTGTTGAGGCAGAACCAATCCATAGCTGGCCCTCACTCAGGTTTCCAGACAGTAAATCGCACAGGAGATGATTGCTCATGTTTCACCTGCAGGGCAGCTGGTAGATTCGAACCATGTGCCTTAGAGTTGATAGCTCTTTACCATTAGGACACCAGAGCTCCCAATAAATTGGTTTATATGCATGGATTATTCAGTATTCCCTCATTTCTCCTTGATACAGAAATCCTAAATGGAGATCTGTGATACTCTAGCATAGAGGTTAAGAACAGGAGCTTTGGAGCCAGAATCCCTGAGATTCAGTCCTGACTAGGTATGTGCTCCTAAGCCATTACTTCACATCTGTGTTCATTCTTTCCTCATTTGGGTTGTGAGGATTAAATTAATACGTAAATGAGAAGCAAAGCATTTAGAAAGGATCTGGCACATATGATTGAATCTTTTTTTTTTATGATTGAATCTTTTTTTATACATTTTTTTCCATGCTGTGTACCAAGTTGGATCCAACTGGTACAGGAGGAGATTGCTCCCCCATCTCCAGTGAAGCATCTGGTGGATTCAACCCGCATGCCTACAGGATTGCAGCAGAGCTTCTTGCCACTAGGCCACCCAGGCACATATGATATACTCAAATTACAAGCTATATACTTAAAACTCTAAAATTTAGAGATTAATGAAATAATTTGTGTATCAATGGCTTGCTGCTATTGCTATCAACATATGTTTGGAAGTCCCTAAACTTGATCCATTTAGAAGTTTAATAGATTCTTTGACCTGTTGGAGCTTACATAACCACATGCAGAAGAAAATATTTGTTAAAGCGTACACACTGAGGCATAATTAAAATAATACTTAACATTCATAGTTCACTGTAGGTACAAAATCCATTCAGAAACACAAAAAAATGTTAAAATATCATTTGTTTATTGATATCCAGTCAACCGTAACCCTTAATAACCATATAAACAGATCTGAACCTTGCCCTATCTTGTGCCATCCTCATCATCTCTGATAATTTTATACATTGTTGTTGTTGTTGTTGTTGTTGTTATGTACCGTCGAGGTGCTTGCAACTCATAGAGACCCTATGTACAACAGCCCTAAACCCTGCTCTATCCTGTGCCAATCGCACTGCCTCTGACACACCCATCCCGATTACCCCAATCACTGAATCAATCCACCTCATAGAGGATCTTCCCTTCTGCACCATTCTCCACCCTCCCAAGCATGATGTCCCTCTCTAAGGACCAGTCCCTCCTTACAACATGTCCAAAGTATGTCAGACGAAGCCCCAGAAGCCTTGCCTCCAAGGAGCAGCCTGGTTTAACCCTCTCTAGGAAGAATCTGTTTGTTTTCTTGGCAATCCATGGTACATTCAGTACTCTTCTCCAGCACCACAGCTCAAAGGCATCAATTCTCCTTCTATCCTCCCTAGTCATTGTCCAACTCTTTAATGCATAACAAGTGATTGCAAGAACCATAGCCTGTATCAGACACACCTTAGTCTCCAGAGTGACACCATTGCTCTTCAGTACCCTAGAGGGTCCCTAAGAGCAGACTTTCCCATGGCAATATGTTTTTTTATTTCCTGGCTACTGGTGCCAAGAGTGTTGACCGTGGAGCCAAGCAGACTAAAGTTGTTAACAATATCAATCTCTTCACCATCCATCCTGATGCTGCCAATTGGTCCAGTGGTGAGAATCTTTGTCTTCTTGACATTGAGCCTCAATCCGTACTGAAGGCTACAGTCCTTAACCCTCTGCAGCAAGCACTTCAGGTCCTCCTCAGTTCCAGCAAGCAGGGTTGTGTCATCTGCATAAGGCAGATTGTTAACTGATCTTCCACCAATCCTGATGCCACACTTCTCCTTATAGAGCCCAGCTTCTTGGATAATCTTTTCTGCATACAGGTTGAAAAGGTATGGAAATAGGACACATCCCTGGTGTATGCCCTTCCCAATTTTGAACCATGCAGTGTTTCTGTGCTTTGTTCTGCCTCTTGGTCCAAGTATAGGTTTCGCATTAGCACAATTAAATGTTCTGGGATTCCCGTTCTTCTCAGAGTCAGCCACAGTTTGTTATGTTCCACACAGTCAAATGCCTTTTCCTAATCAATGAAACACAGATAGACATTCTTTTGGTATTCCCTGCTTTCAGCCAAGATCCATCTAACATCAGCTACGGTATCCCTAATACCACAACCCCTTCTAAACCCAGCCTGGACTTCTGGAAATTCTCTGCTGATGTGCTGTTCCAGTCATTTTTGGATAATCTTCAGTAGAATCTTACTTGCATGTGAAATCAATGATATTGTTCTGTAGTTTCCACACTCAGTTGGGTCACCCTTCTTTGGAATGGGAACAAATATAGATCTCTTCCAGTCAGTTGGCCAAGTGGTTGTTAAATTATTCTTATTTTCAGTACTGCATATATCTAATGTTAGTGTCTAAAGAACAGAAAATGAGACATAGTGGCACAGGGCTATGAGTATTTCTCTGAAAGGGCCAGAGGGAGTGAGAATAGCACAGCTCCTCACCATCCCAGAGCAGAAAGCAAGTAAAGAGCCCCTAGCCCAGCCCCACGATGCCGCTAGAGCTACAGCAGCAGCAAGAGATTGATTTATTCATTGTTGACTCAGAGACTGTGGTACCAAGAATGGGGTTTATTAGGAAAATGAGTTGGAGAATGATGGAGGTGAAGATCATCACTCAATGTAAGTCCAGGTTTTAGCCTAGCAGTCCTAAGGTAGAGTTCCATAATTAGTCCAGCCTGTGATTTTAGTTTAGCAGTCAGCTTTTCCTTCCATCATCCAGGAAGAACAGGAAAATTTTATCTAAGGGCTCCTCTGGTTACACATTACCAGTTTCTACATAGCAATACTAACATTGCTAGGATCTCGCTCTCACCAGACTCTTGCTCCTTTCTCTGTCAAGTATTGCTGCCCAGTGTGGGATACACTCTCTCTCTTATCTTAGTCCCACAGCTACTGATGATTTACAAGACCATGTGTCTGCAGTTAAGGTAGTTACAGACCACAAGAGGCTAATGTAATGCTAGAAAAGCAAACTTTTAAGTTAATACTGCAGTTAGAAATATGTATCAGACGTTGATGTGCAGGATTTATTTGGCAAATAAGGGTGCATCATCAGAAATGTTTAGCTACCACACCTGTGTAAGATGCTTCTGTGTCCAAAATAGCAATCTTAATTTTTAGTCAAACAAATTTATTTATAAGTTTCACTTTTCTTTTTGGAGGGAAAAATAGTTGTTAAGAAGAGTAGACTAAAATACATAATGTGTTGTTTGCTGACTAGAAAGTTTTAAAGCAAAATGAATGCTGGTGATTTCACGAAGAGTCATCATTGCAAAGTTCCAGAAATTTCTCAGCTTAAAAAGATTTTGTTTCCTCCCTTACCTCATGCTGTGTTCCATTTCTTACCCATTTTTTTCCTTTTAAAAAATGTAGTCAGGGAAAAGTTAATTATCTGATTTTGTGGATAACATTATCTTTGGAAACAGTTTTGTTTTTAAGTAAAATATGTATATTTTATTTAGATGTATATAGATACATGTACATAGATGTATGTAGATGTATATAGATGCATGTAGATACTAAGTTGTTCATTTGAAAGTGTATATTTTACAAGTTAAATATGCTACAAATTATACATTGGTTCTTTTTTCTGTTTTAGATCAAACCATCAGGTCAGCTAGTCAATATCCAGAATTATCCTGGCAGTCACCACAAAGTAAGTAAAGCTCTGTTTTATACTCTTTTTTTTTTCTCTTTCACTTTTTAAAAAATTGTGATTTTTAACAAAAGTCTATAGAAAAGTTGGATTTTCATTCATTCATTGTTGTATGTTTTCTTCCTACCTCCTCATCATTTTTTATTTTATTTTTTTACATTATGGGAGTTTTAATCAATGTCACAAAACAAAATATGAATTGTTGAGTAGATTATCAATCTGATCTCTAAGTTCTGACCCAAATAATACTAAACATTTCTAAATGTCCTCATTGTAATAAAATGATAGAACAAAATATTATATCTCATTGATTGTTTAGTTTAAAATTTAGTGATAGTAGTTACATCAATCATGTGCATTCTTTACAACTTTACTTTTCCAAATACTTTTTATCTCCCTACGCATCTTAATTTAAAAAAAAAATATATATATATATTCATTCATTATTGCATAATTGTCTCTCTTCCTACCCTACTCTGTTTTATACTCTTTTTTTAAAAAATTTTATTTTCTTAATTTTAATGAACATTTATAGAGATTTGGCTTTCCATTCATTCATTGTTGCATTTTTCTTCCTGCCCCCGCCCCCCCGTTAGCTCTTCTCTTTGAAAATTAAAAGATACATTCCTTCATTGGTATACAATCCCCCCTTCCTCGTTTTATACTCTTACAGGTTTTCTTGTAAGTTAGTTTTGAAGATCTTCTTTTTCAGTTTAATGAAAGTTTTGGAAAAGAGATGCAGTGAACTCTTAAAGACTTGGAAGTACTTTCCTTGAGTTACACATGTCTATTCCTGAACTTGAATTTGAATTGGAAAAGAACAATGAAAATTTTTAAAAAAACACATATACAATTTTCTTTAATTTGTAGAATATTCTTGCTTGTAATAAAAAATTGCTGATTGTTTTAAACTTAGTAGTTATTGTAGTTATGTACCATCGAGTCAGAACTGATGCATGTCTGATCCTCCAGTGGGTTTTCCAAGATGATAAATCACATAGGAGGAGATTGTGTGACTTTCTTTCATGCAATGACTAATGGACTTAGATCTCTTGGTTGGCACTGCAACTCCCTCCCATTGAGCTACCAAAACTCTTTAGTTAGAATCTATGTATGGGCATGCACTAATAAAGGTATGAAATTTACATGCAGCATAATCTCACTTCTTGTTAAAATTTGGACAGATAAGTATTTGAGTGATGTTGTTGTTATTGTTGATTGCAATCAAGTTGCCCTATGAACAAAAGATCTGAACACCGCTATCATCTAGTCAATTTCAACTCATAACAATTCTATAGGACAGAGTAGAATTACCCAAAGGATTTTTAAGATTGTAAAAATTTATGTAAGCATACTAACAATCCTTTCTTGAAATGAGTGGCTGGTGGTTTCGAACTGCAGATCTTTTGGTTACTTAGCACTTGAACACTTTAACCACTGTGCCACTAAGTCTCCTGAAGCAGCTATAGGAAAAAGTTAATGGTAAACTAGTTGTTGTTATGTGCCATCAAGTTAGAATCAACTCATAGCTGACCATCCAGCACTAGAAGATTTTCAGAGACACTGGATCACTTGGAAGATACCATCTTTCTCCTGCAGAGCAACTGGTTGATTTGAACCATGTGCCTTTTCGGGTTGCTAGTACAACCCCTTACCTCTAGGCCAGTATAGCTCCCGTTAACGAGGTGATAGGTAAACAAATATTCACTAATAAGGCCTTACATATTTACTTACAACTTTGCATATTTCTATAAAGTTAGGGAAAATAGAACACATTTGAAAAAAGATTGGAAAGTAATATACTAAAATGTTAACAATGAATCCACTGAATCTGTCTCAGGATAGTAGACTCTTCGCCGATATTTTTCTTTTATTTAACATGTTTTTATTTTTCAGACTTTCTACAATGGAGATATATATATAAAATTAACAGAAATAATACTTTTGCTTAAGTGCAATCCAAAATTTTACATTCATTACTAATCAAGATACACTTGGAAACCTTTTGAGGACTTTCCCCCATATATTGTTGTTTTTACATGCTATCAAGTCATCTGTGATTCATAACAATGCTATGAAAACGTGTTTATTTTTGTATGTATACATATACACATATATATCTCTACTTTTTAGTGGGAGTTTGAGTTCATTTTACCTGACACATAGCAAAGTGAGTAACTAGTAAACACACAAAACATTTTGAAATTACTCTCTGGATTCTTTTGTATCTATTTGCCTTTTATTATTTCAAATATTTGGTGTTTGGAAGCTCTGAATTGTATTTAATGCAAATGATGTTGTATCCATACAATGAAATACTTACTATTCAGCAATGAAAACTGAGTTGATAATTTATATATTCACAAATTCCCACTGATGTCAAATTAATTTCAACTCAGAGCAACCCTCAACCATGTTTCCACGGCTGTAAATTTTTATGAGAGGAGGCAGTCCAGCTTTCTGTTGTTTATTCAAAACGGCTGCCTGTTTGGTTAGCAAGCTAACCTACAAGACATTATGCTACCAGGTCTCCTTGAGCTTACAAATCTCCCTCCGACTCTCATTGCCATGGAGTCAGAACCATCTCAAAGCTGGCCCTCTAGCAGGTTGTTAGAGGCTATAAATTGCATGAGAAGAGATAGATTGTCTTTCTCCCTTAGAGCCACTGGTGAATTTGAACCAAAAGAGATGTGTCATTTTGGGGTTAGTAGTGGAGACTAAGGTACACCTGATCCGGGCTATAGTCTTCAAAATTACGTGCTATGCATCAGAGAGTTGGACAGTGACTAGGGATGATAGAAAGAGAATTGATGCCTTTGAGCCGTGGTGCTGGAGAAGAGTGTTGAATATACCATGGACTGCTAGGAGAACAAACAGGTTTGTCCTGGAGAGGGTGAAGCCAGAATGCTCCCTGGAGTCAAGGATTCTGAAGCTTCGTCTGACATACTTTGGACATGTTGCAAGGAGGGACTGGTCCTTGGAGAGGGACATCATGTTTGGGAGAGTGGAGGGACGGCGCAGAGAGGAAGACCCTCGATGAAATGGGTCGATTCTGTGATTGGGGTGATGGGAGTGAATGTGTCGGAGATGATGAGGTTGGCACAGGATAGAGCAGGGTTTAGGGCTCTTGTACATAGGGTCGCTATGAGTTGCAAGTGACTCGATGCCACATAACAACAACAGCAAGTGCACCTTCAGACTACACTACTACAGCTCCATATATGTTTGTATGTATGTACGTGTATTGTTATTAGGTGCTTTCAAGTTGACTACAATTCATAGCAAACTTACAAGTAACAGATTTAATGAATCCAAGATGCCATTGATTTTAAATAACTCAGAGAAAAACCTTCTGGTTAAACTATAACATGATACTAATTATAACTCTTGATTATGCCATTACTTGCAGCCCAAAATCAGAGACATTTGTTGGGGGGGAGTACTTAAAATGTCCACTTTTTAAAAAATTTTTATTTTAATCCAGAAAAAAATGTGAAAGAATATGCATGTGTCTTATTCACCACTGAATTACTTCACAGTGTTTTACATGTAATAAACAGATATTTTGTGAATTTTTTTAGTAATTTCTAGAGTTTTTTATCACCTGACGTATTACATTTGTATTTAGAAAATAAGATTTACAATGAACTTACATGGTTTTTATATACATTTTTGTGCATTTTAGAGTGTCAGCAATAGGTAGAAGGATCTCCTTTCTTCAGAACATATTTGGAAATTTACTTCATTATAATTAAGTGACTTTGTAACATCCTATAATTATCCTTTTATAACTCTCTTTAAAATCAACCCCCAAATTGGGGCTAGCATCTTCACTTTGTAGCTACTATGAGTGTTTGCAAATTTGCTTGTGTCATAAAATCCAGTTGCCATCTCATTAATTACACCTCTTGGTCACCCCATATGAGTCTGAGTAGAATTATGCTCCTCAGGGTGTTCTTTTTTTCCTTGGAATTTGAATGAAAGTTTACAAAGCAAATTCATTTTCCATTCAACCACTCATACACGTTTGTTTTATAACATTAATTACAATACCCACAATATAATCCCACTATTCCCATGTCTCCCTGAGATTCTCATTTCTATTGATCCTTCTGTTCTACCTCTTTTTGCTTTCTGGACTTGATCCTTTGAAAAATCTAACTCTTTGACCTTATCTGGTTGATTATTCTAAGGAGTAAATAAATGCTTCCTTAGGAGTTCTGGTGGCCTGTTGATAAGAAGCTGTGCTGCAATCCTAAACACATGAGATTCAAATCCACCAGCTGCTTCACAAGAGAAGGCTGGGCAGTCTCTTCCTGTGCGGTTTACTGCTTCTGAAAACCTGCTGGAAGGTCAGCTGTGAGTTAGTTCCAACTCAGCAGCATACAGCAACAACAAATGCTTCCTTGATGTTATTGGTCACTCTAGAGGCTGGTCTATTTTTTGACTGAATATTGAGCCTGGAACAGAGTTGAGTTTTGGTCTAGGCTCAGAGAGTGACTAAGTACCATATCTTAGAAGTTCCACTAACCTCTCTCAGACCTGTAAGCCTTCCATTTTTCATGTTTTCTAGCTTTGTCTACATTTTCTCCCTTTGTTCTAAGTTCTACTATGATCCCTTTTTAGATTGGCCAGCAGTGGTAACAGGCACCATCTTGTTTTTCTGGTTCCAAGATCATGGAAGTCACATGGTTTATTAGTTCTTTGAACTAATTATTTCTGTAATATCATTGCTGTTCTCTCTTCTTTTTTTCCACATAGAGAGCTCAATGGTTGCACCTAACCATAAGGTTTTCAGTGGTTGATTTTTTGACATTTCTTCTGAAGTTCTTCTGTGTTGACTCAAACCTCCATCCTTCTGTTTAACAAAAGAGCATATTAACAACAACAAGGCCATATTAACTGTTTTCACTCAGAAAATCTGTTTGCTGCAAGGGTATATGAAATTATACGGGATATGTGACAAAGATTGGATACAGTTTAACTATTATTTTGATGGTATTCTACAGTTGACTTCTTGTCCAATTCCTGACATTTGGAAGATTGGAAAATGTGTGCATGTGTGTTTTAAGTCTGGTGAATGAGGAAAAGCTTGAAATTTTTTGGTTTCTAACAACAACAGTGGTCATGAGTAAACAAGCAAAATGTTTACGCAGTTTCTTTTGCCTTTAATTTCGACTATTCTATGATGTTATCTCTGTTTTCTGTTTTAGGAGGAGACTTCACAACATCTCAAAATAAGGTCCCGTCAGTGCTGAGTAAGTGGTTGGTGCCTGTTTTTTCCTCAATTCAAATCTACCAACAAAGTCTTCTAATAAAATTGTAAATAATTTTACTCTTTGCTTTTAATTTCTCATGCATTTATTTACTTATTTATTTATTTATACGCTAATATAAAATATGTTAACGACTATTTTACTATAAGTAATTTATGTGTTAGATTAAATGGTTACTAGGGTTGTTTTTAAATTAATAATGTAACTTGATATTGGTTCTGGAGCCAAGGGCTTCTACATAATGTTTTCTTGAAATGCTGCCTATTTTTTCTGTGGGAAGTAATTCATCCCACAGGTGTGATCCTTTGAAATTAACTTTTGCTTCTGAGCTAATTGTTTTTGTTGTTTCCTTTGTTTTATGCTGCCTTTCTGTTTTTATGCCACTTACACCAGGATCCCTTTCACCTCTGTTAACTCTAACTTAAGACATTGGAATGTGGTATAATTTTTCAAAGTATGTGAAAACATATATTGATATATGTATTTGCCTCATTCAGCCTCAAGCTATAAAAAAAGTCCTCAGGAATGTGTTGAACAATCCCTAAAACAAAGGAATAGGCTGCAAAGTAAGTGGATAAATCTTTACTTAATACTTGAAATCATCTTTGAGCTTATGTGTTGTTTTTCCTGATTAGCTAGTACATGAAAATATTTGGTTCTTCAGATAGGCATTGAGGCTGTGATTTTGACAGCTGTGAATGCTCGTTGTTTTATTTGCTTGGACTGTCAGGAAATGAATTATATATATAATGTAGATAATGGGATGAGAGGACCAGTGGATGATAAGTCTAGATTGACAAGCTGTCAATTCTGGCAGCAGTATAATCATAAAATGAAATTCTGTTTTCTTTACAATATCTATTTGGGATTATTTTTTTTAACAGGCTGTGTTTACATAAATAACCTCTATTACTTGAAATAGGTTTATATACCCATAATTTGAAGTATTAAAGCCACAAATTACATTTTCATGGTGAGGTTTAGGGCAGATTTGAATGTCACAGTGTTTAAGAAATACTGTAAGCTGAGATGATGAAACTTCTCATCTTGATGACCTTGTTTCCTTTCAACATCTCTGAGCTTAGTGCAGGATCCCTGACCCAAAGAATATGCCCTGCTCCTGGCTCTTCTCTCTTAATAGTTGTTACTGTTTTTTATGTGCCATCAAGGTGGAACCCACCCATAACTGACCCTCCAGTAAGTTTCAGACACAATAAATCATACAGGAGATTGCTCATTCTTCTCCCCAGTAACAGCTGGCAGATTCAAACTGTGTGCCTTTGGGATTGCAGCATACCTTCTTACCAGTCAGAGCTCCATTAATAGTAACAGAGCCCAACTGATTGGTTAGTGTGTTAAAGCTTAGGCTGCCAGCTAAAAAAGGTCAGCATTTTTAATCCACCAGCCCCTTTAAAGGGAAAATATGGAGCAATCAATCCCCTCATAAATTATTACAGCATCCAAAACCTGATGAAGGGTCCCATTTTTTTTATTAATAGAAAAAGTAGTGCCGGCCACACCCCAAGGACACACAACTGTGCCACAGGGCTGTGACCTGTGTAAGTGTAAACGGCTTCCACCCTAATCCTCTTACATCCGATTTGCTAGTCACATCACTGAGTGATGATTGCATCTTTATATACTGCCAAATCACTGAGAAGTATAACCTGACCAAGTTGATACATGGTTTGAGGGAACACAGTTCAGTCTTTTAAACCTGTGAAGTGACTCTCTTAATGTAATTCCATAACCTTGTGGCTTTGTTTTTCCATCAGTAAAGTATTAATAGTCACAATTCTTTCTTGGAGAAAGTACAACCAGGGTGCTCTTTAGAAGCAAGAATCATGAAACTTCATCTCATACCCTTTGGGTATTTTGTCAGAAGGGGCCAGTTGTTGGGAAAAGAACTCTTGCTGAAGGGGTCAGAGAGAGAGGAAAAAACCTCCAGTAATATAGATTGGGTTGGTGACTATAACAGTGGGCTCACGTATATCCAAGATCATTAGCCTAGCACAGAATAGGGCAAAGTTGGGGGGTTTTTTTAACGTTTACACAGTTTTACCTACAAAGTTCATATATATTGCCCCTCACTCACACTGATCCCTTTCACTTCCCCAACTCTCGCCCCCTCCACCCATCAAACCATGATTACCACCCTTCGCCCTGTGTGATTCCATGATTACCCCCCACCGCCCATGCCCACCCCTTTGCTCCCACTCCCCCCCAGAGATCTTCATACATGTTTTACTAGTCATCTAGTTCTACAATAATGGTCTTATACAGTATTTATCTTTGTGGGACTGAGTTAGTTCACTCAACATAATGCTCTCCAGGCTCTCTCAAGTTAGGTAATAATTTACAAAATCATTGCTCCTGTGTGCTATGTAGTATTCCATCATGTGAATGTACCATAATTTCTCAATCCATTCGATTGTGGTTGGACATTTGGGCTATTTCCATATTCTTGTAATGGGGAATAACAGTGTTATGAGTGCTGGTGTACAAGTTTTTGGTTTTGGTGGTGGTGGTGGTGGTGGTGTGTGTGTGCGTGCGCCACAGTTCTCATTTTCTTGAGGTATATTCCAAGCAGTGGAATAGCTGTGTCATATGGAATTTCTAGAGTCAGCTTTCTGGGAAAGCGCCAGTCTGCCTTCCAGAATTGTTATATCATTTTACAACCCACCAACAATATATAAGAGCTCCTATCTCACCACATCCTCTCCAACATTTATTACCTGCTGTTTTGTTAAACTTTGTGAATAGGTCAGAGTTTTTATCTGTTGTTCAGAGAGTAGCTATAAATCTTGGTGACTCCAAGGCAGCTAGCAACAGCAATAATAGTCACAATTTTTCCTAGTGCAAAACTCATAGAAGTTTTTAGCACATATGAAGGAATTCTCCAGCAACCCAATATACCATTTTGCCCTTGCCTTATTGTTGGCTATCATTTCTTATTGTTGGGAGTGCATTCTTTCCAACTTGTCACAGTTAGAATGTCAAATGTTAATCATTCCATTCATTCCATTTTTCCTTTTTTTCTTTTCTTTTTTTTTTAAATTTTATTATTTTGTGTGCGTGTACCGTCAAATCAGATCTGACTGGTACAGGAGGATATTGCTCCTCCTTCCCCTGCAGAGCATCTTGTGGATTCGAACCGTGTTCCTCTGGGATTGCACTGTCCATTTTTCTTATAACCAGAATAAAAAAGTAAATGAATGAAGAAGTGAGACACATCTAGGAAGAAAGAATACATGAGTTCTACTATGTGTCCTATGAAATACTCAGAGAGTTCTGTTATTACTTAGTGCTTAACTATGTATTCATTCGGGATAATGAATATCAGGTATATGACTTCCAGATAAATGAAGTAATACAGATCCTTCTCAGAAAATGTTTGTGTGCCGCTTATTTCTTTTAATAAAACTCTGCAAATTAATGCAGAAGAATATATAATTGAAGATCTCCTTGGAATGCAGAAATAGATCTTAATGCCCAGATTGATAATTTAAGTATTTTATTTAATGTATTTTTACACAGTTGTTGTAATGTGCAGTCGGACTCATTGCTAAGCCTCCTGCAGGAGACTAAATCACACAGAAGATTTCAAAGATTAGCTCGAGGAAAGCAAACTAGTATAACTATATGTGCAATGACTGGAGTCAGAGAACCAAAAGGGAAAAACTCACTCAGATTTCCTTAAACTGAAGGAACTGAAAAACAAAGCTTTGAGTTGCAGAATTCATGGAGTCACTTTACAAAAAGAATCAATTGACACAGACCCATTTCAAGAAGTAGCATATGTTCAGGAACCACGGGTGATGAAAGAAGTTCACTGAGGCATTGGCAGAAAATAAGGACCCAGGAATTGATGGGATGCTAGTTGACAAGTTTCAGTAAAAACATGCAGCCACGTGTGTTGAACACAGATGTGTTCAACAATCTGCCAAGAAATCTGGGAGACAGCTACCTGGCCAACAGATGATATGAGTTCTATATCTGTTCTCATTCAAAATAAATAAAGGTGACCCAAATAATACGAAAATTATCTGTCATTCATAGCACATGCAAATAATTCTTGCTGAAGATGATTTAAAAATGGCTAGAACAGTACATCAATAAAGAACTGCCAGAGATTTTGGTTGGATTTAAAAGAGACCGTGGCACCAGAGTTATCATTGCTGATGTCAGATGGATATTGGCCGAAAGTGGGGAATTCCAGAAAGACGTCCACTTTTGTTTTGTTAAATATTCAAAGGCATTTGACTTTGTGAATCAACAAAATCTGGATAACTTTTGTAAAGAACAGGGAACTTCCGTGGCCTCGTGGTAACGAGTTGCACTACAATCTCAAAGACACGTCGTTTGAATCCACCAGTTGCACTGCAGGAGAGAGATGAGCAGACTCCTCACTGCTGATTTACTAACTCTGAAAATCAGCTAGAGGGTCAGCTATCAGTTGATTCTGACTTCACAGCAACACAATAACAATGGAGAAGAATGGGAATCCCAGAGCACTTAGCTGTGCTCCTGAGAAACCTAGATAAGAAAGTGACTTGTCTGAACAGAGCAGGAGAACACTGCATGGTTTAAAATTAAGAGAGGTGTGCATCCAAGCAATATATTTTCTCCATACCTGGTTCATCTCAATGCTGCAAATCATTTGAGAAGGTGGACTTTATGAAGAAGAATGTGGCAATAAGATTGAAGGAAGGCTTATCAACAGCCTACATTATAGGTGATATTATTCTTGCTTGCTGAAAGCAAGAAGGACTTGAAAAGCTTGCTGCAAAAGATCAAGGACTGCAGCGTCCAGTGTAGAGGCAACATCATGATATATGAAGAAAAGATTGAACTTGTCAACAAGATCATTTTATTTGGATCCACACCCAATCACCTTGGTACTGGCAGTCAAGAAATAAAAAAACAGTGTAGCATTGGGCAAGTCTGTGGGCAGGGACAACTCCAAAAGTGTAAAAGAGCAAGGATGTAAGTCTGAGGTGCCCCTGATACAAGCCAGAGTCTTTCCAATTACTTGCTATGCATCTGAGAGTTAGACAGTGAGTAAAAAAGACAGAAGAATTGATGACTTTGAGTTGTGGTGCTAGAGAAGAGCACTGACTGTCCCATCGACTCCCAAAAGCATGAACACACGTCTTGGAGAAGGTGCATTCCTTAAAGGGAATGATAGTGAAACTTTGTCCTTTGGGCATGTAATTAGGAGAGGCTAGTCCTTGGAAGAAAGCATAATGCTCAGAAAAGCTGTGGGTCAGTGAAGGAGGGGGAGAAAATGGGCTCTGATGTGGCAGAGATGATGAGGATGGTACAGGATAGGACAGGGCTCAGGTCTGATTTTCATAGGGTCGCCACGAGTCATGCTCAGTTCAATGGCACCTAACAACATCATATATTAGTATTGTATTGAACTTTGAGAATTCTGTAGAAATAAGAGGAATTTGCATGCATATTAGAGTGTATATAACAGAATTTCTTTTTTAACCATACAAGACTTTAAAGAAAGAGCAATAAAGAAAACATTTCTAGTGGAAATAGGAGATTGTAGTGATTTTTTTTTCAGAGTTTTCCTCTTCATCCCAAGACATTTTTTACACTTTTAGTATATAAAATTTCATCTTTCCTTCTCTTACCTGTGTATTTTTATGATTTTAGTTGAGGGCCAACAAAGGTCATTTTTAAATCCTGAGTGTTTAAGCACCTGCAGGGTCCTTAGATCTTCTTAACCTGTGTTAGCACCAATTCCTAGGCAGTTACATTCTTCCTGCTTCCTAACCATTTCAGAAAGATCTCTCATTTTCTTTCATTGCCTTAAACTCTGGACTAACTCATAGCTGATGCTCCAGATGGTTATCAGAGACTATACGTTCAGAGACTGTACAAGGAAGGAGATTGCCCACCTTTTATTCATGGAAAAGCTGGTAGATTTGAACTGCCTGCCTTTGGATTGATATCACAACCTTCCTACTAGGCCACCAGAACTCTCTTTCAGAAAGATAGGACCACTGTTTGCTTTTTTCTAGATTCACTGATGATAAAATACTGACATTAGGGAGGAATATGTCAGTTAGAGGTCAAATCCCTGAGTCCATGTCTCATTCATTCACATCCTTTAGAACCTGACTCAGAATGTGGTCTGGAGAAAAGAGGATAGAGTTGGAGATTGAGCTTTTGAATTCTTACCCTTATATTGGAAAGATCTTGGGCAAAATCTCTTAACCTTTGTGAACTCAATTTTCTTGCCTTTAAGAGACCATAGTGCCTATAACTAGTTCACTTTGAGATTCTAATGATTTTATCTGTATGTGAATGCAGTTTTCAAAAATCTGGGTACCACATCATTATTAATGTTCTTTTATAGTTAGCAATATATTTATAAAGTATATCATATAAATATAACAATATGTTTGTTACTAATAATGATAATGTGGAAGGAGGAGTGGCATCCACTTCCATAATAGCTTGCCTCTGGAAACCCTATGAACCTGGAGAGTGTATGAAAGGCACCCAAGCGTCGAGGACTCTCCTTCATAGGGTCGCTATAAGTCGCCTGCGACTCGACGGCACTTAACAACAACAACAACAATGATAATATAACAAAATACAAATATAATAATTCCCAATAATGGTAACTGTGGTGGTCTGTGGCCTTTGTTCTTGGTTTTAGAGAGTCACCATTATCATATTCTTCATACTGGGAAAACTTTTTACAAATTTTTGTTAACATCTCTAATAGTATTAACAAGAACAATAGATGTTGCCTATTAGACAGTGTCCTGCCTCAGCTCTGTGTGTGTGTGTGTGTGTGTGTGTGTGTGTGTATACACACTGGTCAGTGAATTTTCATATTCTATAAATTACTTAAATAATACATGTGTTATATAGTAAGTATTTGCTCTTCTTTTTTTTTTTTTTATTGTATTATTTTTACGTGTACCGTCAAATCAGATCTGACTGGTACAGGAGGAGATTGTCCCCTCCTTCTCCAGCAGAGCATCTGGTGGAAGCATTTGCTCTTCTTTATCATTAAAATCTTCATAGAATAAGGGGAGCTCTGGTGGCCTAGTGGCAAAAAGCTGCACTACAATCCCAGAGGCGCACGGTTTGAATCCACCAGATGCTCTGCCGGGGAAGGAGGGACAATCTCCTCCTGTACCGGTCAGATCTGATTTGACGGTACACACAAATAATAAAAATAAAATTAAAAAAAAATCTTCATAGAATAACACTTTACAGCATCTGTATTTGTGTGTGCTCTCTCATTTAATCTTTGTAACCATGGCAATAAATATTACCTGATACAATAAATATTACCTGATTTCTTTTAAATAATTAAATTCTTTGTTGACCTAACAATAGAAGGCTTTTAAATGATGATGATTCTTAGTATAAACTAGCAATTGAAAAATATATCTCTCGGGCTCAGAGTTATTTTGGGTTAGTGTTTTTGGTTGTGGCGGTTTTTTTTAGATTTTTTTATCAAAATGAGGCTATTTCCATATCTTAGCAGTGCTAATTTTATTGCTTTACTTTAGCTCAGTGTTTCTCAAATGACATGAAAGTTAAAACTGTGTGTAATTAATAGATGGCAGTACTGGTATTAGTGAGACCACTCAGTTTCTCCAGTGTGAGCACAATTCTTCTCTTAAGTGTTACACTCTGCTTCTGTCCCAGAAGGCAATTATAGGTCAGGGAGGGAAGGATTAGGGTAGTTTTAAATTTATTTTCTAAAATAGTGATAGGAACCCTAGTAACACAGTGTTAAGTGCAACTTGGATGTTAACCAAAAGGCCAACAGTTCAGATCCACCTGGTCCTCCTTGGAGGGAGAAGACTGCCTGCTTCCGTGAAGATCTATAACCGTAGAAACCCAATAGGCAGTTTTCTGCTGTCCAATTGCTATTAGTTGCGTTGATATTAATGGCAACAGGTTTGGGTATTTTAAGTTGCTATACGTTAGAGTTGACTTGATGGCAACAAATTTAGGTGTTTTGTTTAAAGTAATGATGGAAGAAGAAAGAGTTAATGGAGTTGTGAGAAGATTATTTTGATTCTTAGCTACAAACCTAAAACAGACGTATTTGTCTTTTAACAGAAATAATACAGATCTTACATAGAGTTTTAAAAATATTTAATATGACCAGAACCTCAAAAAATACTATAATCACTTAGGGTATAAATTAGTGAGGATTAAGATTGTGTTTCGTATCAAACACTTCATTTTCCCTTTACTTTACAGCGTCTTCGCCAGGCAAGAGTTCGTTGTATGGCAGTATTTCAGATGGTATAATGTATTTCTTTTTATTATATCTGTACCTCTCTGCTTTGTTTTCTTAACTTGATCCCAGCAGTTTCACCAGTTCTACTAAATTATCAGGGGTGTATCAGGCTATCGCCATGTGCTGTGAGTTGTAAGGATATAGGCCTGGTCTCTCAAACAGCTTTAGTCAAATGATCAGTTGGGCTTCTTGTTTGTGGCTGAGCACTGCTTTCTTTTCTCTTGGTGGAATTTATACTTTCTTTCTCTTATAAATAAGTAGTCTAATCATGAAGCTTAAATTGAGATTTTTATATATTTTTTTTTAACTCTTGTCATTAGATGATCTCATTCAGAAACCAGCACTTGGAAATCCATCTCCATCTGCCTCCAGCCCACGTAAGTTTGTCTTTTCATTTCCTGTTAAATGAAGGCTTTAAAAATTGGCAGCCCATATTTGTTTTGACACTTTTTAATGGCAAAATAACTTCTACATTATGCTATTTGAAAAATTATATATGAAACACTTCAGAGGAAAATATCTCTTTTTCTAGCAGTTATAGTTCTTTAAGGACAACGTATATGAAACAACCTCTGGCTTTTCTTTTCACTTTATTTTCTAGGAAATGAGAATATAAATTAGTTTCTCATTCAAATCAAAAGCAATAGTTAATAAGCAAAGCTCCTAGTACGATTAGCCTTGTGAACCTTTGCTCAGTCAGAAGAGAGCATGTTGCTTTCAGATGCCCTCCCTTAAGTCAGCTTTAACTCACAGCAGTTTCATGTAGAACAGAACAGATCTTCTCTGATCCCACACCATTCTCACAGTTTGTTTTGTACTTAAACCCATTACTGCAGTCACTGTGTTTGTTATTGTTGTTATGTTATGAGAACATAGCATAATATAATGGATTTATTACAAGTTCTAGAGCCTGGATTTGAATAAATACAAAACCATTTACTAGCTGTACAGCCTTAGAGCAATTTCCTTGCATTTTTAGGCCCCCAGGCCTTTTCATTATCCTGAGCTAAAGGGCAAATAAACTTTCATCTCAATACCCTTGTACACTATTGTAATGGTTAAGAACTATTAAGTTGTGACTTACTCTTAGCTGACCCTCCAGCAGGTTTTCTGAGGCAGTAAATCACATGAGAGGAGATTGTCCTGCTTTCTCCCGGAGTAGCTGGTAGACTCAAACCTTGTTCCTTTGGGTTAGCAGTGCAGCTCTTTACCACTACAATTAAGGAGCTTCTTTCTTTCCTTTTGTTTTTCCTTGACTGACAAAGCCTGTATATTTGGGGTGGGGTAATGTGCAACAATGAATTGATAGGAAGAAAAAGAAAAACTGGAGGAGAGGGAGGGAGGAAAATGTGCAACAATGAATGAATGAAAATCTAACTTTTTCTGTAAACTTTTCTTAAAATCCCAATAAAATAAGCGATATTTAAAACTGTATATATTTAGCTAGAAATTAAGAGTGAGATTATTTTTATCTCTTTATTATTAATTTATTTTAAAATAGTTTAGGGAAGAGTGGCTTTCTATTTTTTTCTAAGTCTCTTTTATGTGTAGTTTAATGAAATGGAACTGGATTCTCATGTGTGCTTATGATTTAGTCTGTTATGTTATTTTTGGTTCAAAATTTAGCTTCAAAACAACTGCAGAAAATGCCATGTTATACAGATTTATAAAATCTTAATAGCCTTTTCAGGAAACTGGCTATGCCTTTGATACTACCCAAACTCGGACAAGTAATAGTTTCTTAAATATTATTTAAGATACAAAATAATCAAAATAATGACCTTTTTATACTTTTATGACATTAAGACACATTGTTGTTGTTGTTATGTGCCGTAAAGTTGCTTGTGACTCATAGCAACCCTATGTACAACAGCTAAACCCTGCTCTATCCTGTGCTAATTGCACTGCCTCTGACACACCCATCCTGATTACCCCAGCCACTGTATCAGTCCACCTCATAGAGGGTCTTCCCCTCTTGTGCTGTCCCTCGACCCTCCCAAGCATGATGTCCCTCTCCAAGGACCTGTCCCTCCTTACAACATGTCCAAAGTATGTCAGACAAAGCCCCAGAATCCTTGCCTCCAAGAAGCAGCCTGATTTAACCCTCTGCAGGATGAATCTGTTTTCCTAGCAGTCCATGGTACCCTCAATACTCTTCTCCAGCACCACAGCTCAAAGGCATCAATT